ACGAGGACGGTTTGTCATGTAATCTCGTTGATTATTACACATGTCGATGTGCCGTCCGTGTCCCCTCCCTCTCCCCCCCCCCCGTCCCCTTAGAATCCGTTCCATCTGCTGTCGTCCGACTTTTCAGGGTGTTAATTGCGTGGCATTTGCGATTGAGCGCGTGAATGCAGGGAGCGCGTGGAAAAAGGGCAGGTAACGCGAACCGTTGTTTACACTCGTGATCATGGAATGCGCAAATTCAGCACTGTTATCGCTGCGAAATTTTAACAACAAAACGATATCATTTTGCGGAGTCTTATTTTCAATTCCGACCAGCGATTGCGAGTCATCCGACTCGAACTCGGTGAAATTTCGGCTAGAAAGGAAAGAAGAGTTGCCTGTAAAGAATATACATAGATTTTATTCAGCAATTGTAATCCGATACAAACTAATCGCGCGATTCAAGTTTCACGTGTTATTTACGTGAACGACAAAGCGAACGACGAGTTGGCGTTACACTTTTTTTTTTCCACGCGTATTCCAGGGAGATGATCTGATGAAACGTAAATTCGCGCCGAGAGAATAAATATAATAACGATATGAAAGCACAAGATAATAAAAAAACAGTAAAATATTCCGAAGTATGGACACATACAATTTTGTTTATACTTATTATGTTTTTAAAATATTCATTCACTTTTAACAATACTATAGTACAGTAACAAATTGCTTTTATGATTCTTTAAATATAATATCGTAAAATAATACAGATTTAATTCAATGAAGTCGCGAAATTTTAAATACAAGAACGAATTCGCAGTAATTTTTGCCTGTTTGATAAATACGATAGAATCTAAACTTATGGATTATTTCCTTCACGATCTTCTCTCGGTGCAAACGGACGGAGAGTCAAAACGCAGAAGGAGAAACAGCTGTTCGAAAAATTCGAAGAATAGATTAAGTATTCGCAGAATACTTTGCATTACTCAATCATACGGACGATATGGAATCGATCCAATCTAGGAGATCAAAATCTTATTCCAAAGTCCTCGTCCAATTTATTCACTTCGGATATAGTCGTTCGATAACAATTCTCGTTTTTACGCATGTGCTGAAGCTTAAAATGTATAAAAACAGCTTTCCTTAAGCATTTCTAAAAGTCAAATATCAATTTGAAAAGGTGAGATCGTAGCACTCACTCGAAAATATTTTTTCTTAAAGATTAATATAAATTGATAACATAAATTTGATATCAAATAATGGGGAAAGTATTTTTCTATATTTATGATATGAAATATATAAAAATTTTCGTCTCTCGTCGGCTCTTTGCGCATTAATTTCTCATTCTACGATCACGCGACGCGAATTCAGATGCTGTTCGGCTTAACCCTTTCTCTTTCAAAGACTTTTAATGCAGACGTTCGATCATGATAGCGACTAATAATATGTTAATACGAAACTCTCATCTTCGCAGGTGAAATGATCGTTAAAGATGCACCGAAAAATCACGATGCATGCATGTTCTCGCATGCGTCTCACACCCTGTCTGCGCCTCCACTCTCCGTCTTTCCCTGGCATGCAAGCGTGAGAGAAAGAGAACTCTCCTATTTTGGCACACTCTCTTATTATATTCCCCTCTCGCATTAAAATCGTGATGTAAGTCGTGGGCACCAGGAAAGCGCCGTAAAACCGTGTAAAACAGGCCAAGTCCCACGTAACACTTGTATATCCCACATGCGAGGAGAACATATATATATATATATATATATATGGATGTCGCAGAACTGCTCTGTCCTTTTTCTTACGCGCTCTTTGAGGTCAATCCTATCTGTAGAGAATTCAATTAAACATATATCATTTTTCTCCTAACTCTATAATCGTCGCAATTGAATATCTCGCACGGGCTCTTGCCGATCGAAATTGATCAAAACGGGTCCGTAGATAGAAAGGAAGCTGCGAGCTGTCCTTGCGAGAGAACATCCTGTATATACGTAATTTACCGTCCCATTCATCCTCAAAATCTCGCTCGCTACCGATTATTAACGCCGACGGTTTTGCAGATACAAGTGCGAGAAAAATGACGTGCCCATTACGGTAACGAATGGCTCGACTTTGCCGCTCGTGGAACGACCGAGCGACGAGGAGGCCGCCCTTTACGACCCGTTCGAACATCGCAAGCTCGCCCACCCCACCTCGGACCTCGACACGCTCATACATCTGCTCAAGGGGAGTCTGGGTACGGGCATACTCGCGATGCCGATGGCCTTCCGCAACGCCGGCCTCGCCTTCGGTCTCTTCGCCACCTTCTTCATCGGCGCGGTGTGCACCTACTGCGTCCACATCTTGGTCAAGTCCGCCCATCTCCTGTGTAGGCGGTTGCAGACACCTAGTCTGGGCTTCGCTGACGTGGCCGAGGCTGCCTTCTTAGTGGGGCCCGAATCCGTTCAGAAATACGCCAGACTCGCCAAGTGAGTTTTTCCCACACAGGGAACATGATGTTACGACGATGTATTTTGTTTTATGAGCCTTCAGAAGATGTAGGCCGGTATTTATAGTCAGTTCTTGTGACAGATCGTCTTGAATAAGCTCATGCTCACAGCTATCCTATTGGTCGAAATGTTTTGTATCTTAAGATGATCTTAAATATAAGAATATAAGAACTATCTATGAATACCATAGGCCACAGTCCATAGGCCGATATTCATAATTGATTCTTATTTTAAGAGAGTCTTAAGTAATGTCTTAAAATGCTAATACGGCTCTGTGATTGGTTGATAACCTCTTAAGATAATACTTGAGATACTATGAATACCGGCCGTAAAACGCGACAGATTTCTTTCCTGTATTTTCGTAAAACTCGATATGTCCATCGCGTTACTATTTCAGTCTGTTACTTAATGTTTTTTAATGCGTTGCAGGGCAACTATTAATTCGTTCTTGGTGATCGATCTGGTCGGTTGTTGCTGCGTATATATCGTCTTCATCTCGACCAATCTCAAGGAGGTCGTGGACTATTATACGGAAACGGACAAAGATCTGCGAGTATACATGGCGGCGTTACTGCCATTTCTCATCATCTTCTCTCTAGTGAGGAATCTCAAATATCTCGCACCGTTCTCGATGGTGGCGAACATACTGATCGCCACCGGTATGGGCATCACCTTTTACTATATTTTCCACGATCTGCCTACCATCAGCGATGTACCAAATTTCTCCAGCTGGTCTCAGCTGCCCCTTTTCTTCGGTACTGCTATCTTTGCGCTTGAAGGTATTGGTGTTGTAAGTATTATTTATATATCTTATATATCATTATTCTCCATAACAAACTTTGTTGTTGTGTTTTATTAATAATAATATTTATATGCGAATAAAATATTATAAATATTAAACTTGTAATTTAAAACTTTTTAAACAAAGTTATTTAGACTGATGTGTGTCAATAGGTAAATTCGCGGTTACAGTCACATATTATTTAAGGCGATCTTCTTTGTATTTGGATTTATTAATATTTTCAAGAAACCAATTTCTAACTACATGTCATTAACTTACGTCTTTTGAAAACATAACAATTAAAAGACTTGTGTCTTACCTCTCACGAATATATATTCGGTAATAATTAAATTCCCACGAGAAATTTTTAACTTTTAAAAATTTCTGAACTTTTTCGATCCATACGATGTTTAAAAAAAAACATACTGACACGAGTTAAATGACAAATTAAATTTTAATTAAGATACATTTATTCATAGGCAATCATACGATTGCCACAAAGATAGATATATTACGACACTATGCATCAGAAATAAATTTGCATTTAGTTGCTAGACATGTCCGGACACTTAACGGTCACGTTCGATTGTTCCAAGCATCGACTCATGTAAATCAAATGACACGCCTTTATTTGTGCGTCATGGAATGTTTTCGGAAATTCATGACATATGTCAACCTAACGAGAAAAAAGTTATGTTAACATTTCATTACGTGGCGATGTTTACATAAAATTTTTCATATTGTGTCACATGTGTCACACAGACAGAATCGTAATAATTTTTCAAATGCGTTCAAAAAATTGATTATAAATATGAAATGTTTAAAAAATTTTTTTAAGTAAAAGTTATTTTATTTTTATTAAAATTCAAAGAAAATATAAAAAAATATTTAGAGCTATCTAAATTTATATCTAGAAATTTAAAAAGATTTTTAAATGTCCTATTTTTAAGTCATCGTATATTGATAAAGAAAAAACTATTTACTGTGAAACTGTGGAAACTTTTTTATTTTTAATCTTTTGTATATATATATATATATATTTCAATACTTCCTTCCTTGGTTTATGTTTAGTGCTAATAATATCTCAGGTATATAATAAGCGAACGTTCTTTGTCATCATTTTAACGTTATTTTTCGTTAAAATGTCTAATGTCATCAAAATGACGACAAACATCGCCAGCTTATTATCTGGGACATATGTCACTCAATATTTTGAAATATTCTTGATTGTTAATCAAGAATATTTCAAAATATTAAAGATTTTTAGTGTAAAAAAATCTAAATAGACAATTACTAGCTTTAACATTTCACAAATATTATTTAGTTCTTTTATATATCTTTTTTTAAATTTTTAGAAATAATGCTTTTATGCTTTCTTTTCATCAATTCAAGGATCAACCAAGAAAATCTGTAATCTATTTCCAGGTCATGCCATTGGAAAACAATATGAAAACTCCGTCGCATTTTATCGGTTGCCCAGGCGTCCTCAATACCGGTATGTTTTGCGTCGTATTGTTGTACAGTACTGTTGGCTTCTTTGGCTACTGGAAATACGGGGAGAACACGAAAGCTTCGATTACGCTGAATCCCCCGCAAGACGAGGTGTTAGCGCAGTCCGCCAAGGTGATGATCGCCGTGGCAATCTTCCTCACTTATGGACTCCAATTCTACGTGCCGATGGAGATCATCTGGAAGAACGTTAAGCAGTTCTTCGGCTCTCGTCGGCTGCTCGGCGAGTATCTTCTCCGTATCACGTTGGTGATCTTCACCGTTTGCGTGGCAATCGCGATCCCCAATTTGGGCCCGTTCATCTCCCTCGTAGGGGCCGTGTGTCTGTCCACGCTGGGCCTCATGTTCCCCTCGATAATCGAGCTGGTGACTGTCTGGGAACAAGAGAACGGCCTCGGCAAGTGGAACTGGCGGCTGTGGAAGAACATCGCCATCATCTCTTTCGGCGTGTTGGGCTTCCTCACCGGCACGTACGTCAGTATCCAAGAGATCCTGGAAGGCAAATGAGACGCCGTGTTCGGCGCGAGGAGCGGAAAGCATCCGCTCGCGGCAATCGCTCGTCGTCCGGCGCTAATTCAGGCGACGAGTACCAAGTGTGACAGCGTCTCTCTCTCTCTCTGGGCGTCTCTCGCGCGGATGACGCAACGCTGTCAGCAGACGGACCACTGGATCCGGATCAGGATTCCTCCCGAATCCCTATTCCCGTATCCTTCCTTGTCGGTAGTGCGACAATTGTGACAATAATGACGATGACGACGACGACGACGACGACGATGATGACGACGACGACGACGACAAACGATGACGACGGAGACATCCGCAGAGGTCTTCGCGTGATCGGATTTTCATTTATCATTTTCTTAACCAGTAGTCGAATTAGTATTACGCGCATCGTGTACGGTTGACGTAACGAGTGTATACGGTCGGAGGAGAAATGACATATTTGCGCATTCTCGATAACGTTATTTCCGTTATTTCCAGTAAGAGTTATGCAGGATTACTTATAGATAGACTATTGTGTTAAATTGGCGCAAACATTACCTATTCTACTAAATAAGGTAGAAAGCAAAATTATATATATTAATTTTGAGAAAGCAACAATTTTGTCAACGTCTGATTCCTAATGGTACACCGCTTATATATACAGGTAAAGCGGATCAAACTGAGAGAAGAAGTCTTCTATTATTTTGGAATTTCCGCAATTAGTTATTAATTATTAAAAATCGCCGAATAAGTGTGCAGGGTATATCTGCACACCCCACTAGCAAATAACAAACATGTAGTGAGACGTGACCGTCTAATGTTACGCAATGAAATGTTTGGAGGTGTGCATTATAAACAGATGTTCTGTCATTTGTAGACTGTCACTTCTAAATACCTCGCTGTGCTACCAATTGCGAACGTGTGTTAAATGATTGGCACTTCGTCGCGCGCTCGCATTGGCTGGGCGGATATGCGCTCATTCTATCTTCATTCTATCTCATTCGATCTTTACTAATTAATAACTCGGTACTAATTGCTAAAATCGCAAAATGGTTGAGGACTTTTCTGCCCACTTTAACCCGCTCTTCAAGCGAGATGTCATTAGGAATTGGACACTCTATATGTATATTTAATTTGATGATATGCTTTTCAAGATTTCTTAAAAAAAATTGCAGGCTTGTAACTTCAGGACTTAAAACAGAACAGTTGACATAGAAAAATTGAAAAATTTTTAACGCCAATTTAATACCTCCAACTATGATCTTTTAAAAACAAGATCTTTAAGTAAGTTGCAGTATTTGACAAATTTTTATTTTATTTTATAATTTTATATATACATCAGAATATTACATCGGAATATTTATATTGAGGTGCCGGTCTTCGGGAATTCCAATCTTTGATCTTTAATGATGAACGAACGAAATTTAAATCCTTTTGCTCTTTTTTTTCTCTATCATTTTAGTCGATAATATCACATCAACCGTATGTGCGTATGTGCGTAGATTTTTGTAAACTTAACAACTGCGGGACGGTTATTTAGAGTAGCGTACGCAATTATTTTCTGGTCGTACTTTGTATACCTATATCGTGTATATAAAAAATACACAAACCATCATGCTTCATGAATGACAAGTGGGAACCGTACGCCGTCAGTTATTACGTGCTTATTTGCTCGATCGGATTATCAGTAAGATAGATGGTCTCGATATGATTACGCGGGTCGCTCAGACATTAATTTTCCATCGTCTAATCAAGGAAGTTGCGTTAACAAAACATCTTGTTTGAGCATATCAATATAAGTATTCGTTTTTGCATATTAATACAATGCGCCGAATTAATATAAAGTTACTTCTCTATTCTTTGAAATTCTACAAAGTTCATATGAAACAATATCGATCCGCCATAAAAGTCCATTTGCGGCCTACGTAAATGTGTCTGAGACCTCTGCTATAAGAAAATGATCTGTAAGATATTGCGTTTCGCGGAAGAACGTCATGATTGAGCATCACGTCAATTTTTCTTTAAACATTGATTTGATTCTAAAAATACGTATACGAGCGAACGGTGAAACGAACAAAGAAAACGAATGTTCGGACATGTTCGCATGTTCGTAGTTCATTTGTTAATTTATACTGAACATCCGTGTTCAGCAATGTTCATCATGACGGTGATATATTCATCAAATACCAAATATGAAAATAAAAATGGAAAGAAAACAAACGTTAAATTCTCCATTTTCATAAACTATTTTTTTTTTCAATCATGTTCAATGAAAAAATTGTATTCTACACTTTCAATTTATATTTATTCACGTATTAATATTTATTCACGTAAGATTGTTATTCACGTATTAATATTTATTTCACGTAAGATTGTTATTTTTTTTCCGTGATATTTGAAATATGCAAACGGAAGGATAATTTGTTCGATAGAATTTTTTATTAACGAAAATTTATTAGCGAAAAGAAACTAATTTCTCCAGATGTGATAATTAATCAACGTGATTCCGCCGCAAAACCGCTGGTTTGTTCCTAGTGCATGATGCACGATGATGTACAAAGAAGATTAATCCATTAAGAGTTAGTAGGCAGAAAAGTACGTAGGTGTAATATTGTCGTGATGCACGCTTGCTAGTCTGTAAGTAAGATCGCGAGACACCATTCGCGCGCTATTTCGTCAGCATGCGCGATAATGATGTTAATTGGTTCCAGTGTTGGAAATGGGAAAAGTCCGACACGATTAATGCTATCGATACGTCGACCAAAGGGGAAATAGAGCTGGAAGTAGAAGATGCATATTCGAACGTTTATCGTTTAACATTGTCCACCAGAAAATGGAGTAACAAAATATTTTCTACAATTTTTTGAAAAATATTAATTACCAACCAGAGAATTGGAAAATCATCAACATTTTACGAGAAACGAAGTTCGAAAATGAAGATGTTATACAACTATTTTTATAATTAATTTATGCTTGTCTATCTATTCGATAATTAGCAATAATCTCAATTTAACTTTAGGAAAATACATTTTTGTAAGATATACGAAACGACAAGACTGCAAATAACTTTTCTATTTTTAGGAGAATATTTGTATATGTTACTTTTCGTATTGGCTTTTATCTCAAAATATTATTCTTTTTAAAAATAATATCAAAGTAAGATAAAAATTATATTCTTGAATCTATGTATCGTCACTATTCTTCTTATAATGATATTAAAATTACGCATCATATACAATATCTTTTTTACATAATATTCAAAAACATAAAATATTCGAAATTGATGAATAAATAAATAAATTTCATGTTTCAATGATTGATGAAAATATTTAATTGTAATTATACTTTTCAAATGTGATAAAATAACGTCCACTAGAACTAAATAAAATTGGTTAATGAATTGAATAAAATAATGAATTGAATGAAATTTTCAATTAAAAGAACAGCACATATCGAATGTAAAAAAAATTAAATTACTTTAAAATCTAAAATAAAATTAAAATCCAATTTATATTTAAATATAAATAATATCAATATAACAGTATTAATAATTAATACTGATATAACAATGTGACTATGCTTTAATAACACAGAAACAAACCATATATGTAACCTATTTTAAGAAATAAAAACAAATTTATTTAATTGGACGACTCATTTAAAAACAATGAAATTAATAAAATACAATATGGCAAATGGCTATAAATAATGTAGAAATTGTTTTAAAAATTTACATTATGTTGGATAATCTTCAAATAATTGGGACTTCTTTCTTCATTTTAATAACAATGAGAAAAAATATAATTTTATAAAAAATATATTGAGATGGTAAAATTGTGCGAGATATCCTCTTCGAAACCTGATCTATGTCCTCTCGGATTCTATTTTTGAAAAAATTTATTTTATAAGATTATATATATATATATATATAATACCTGTTAGAAAAAAGTATATTACAAGGCAAACGTAATTCACACTATTTTAATGATGCTGATCGATTTTTAGAGTATAGAAAGAATCACGTTTTGACCGCAAATGAGAAAGAGAAAATAACGTAGAACAGTAATTCTATTAAACTTTGCAGTATATTAGATCAATATATAGTTAATTAATACAAGTCTGAAATAAAGATAAGAAGAGACAATAAAAACAATATATTGCAAAAAATAAATAGTATAAGTAATGTGCGACATAGAAGAAAAAAGAAATACCAGATTTGGACCAAATTAGGTTCAAATTTTCGGGTTCCTATTCGTAGAATGAAAATGGGCGCGCAATACGTAAGCCATATCATTTTAAATAAAGTCATATTACTTTCGTAATAATGTACGCCCATTTTGATGATTTTTTTTATATGAAAGAATGTAGAAATGGAATGTGTAATTTTATCAAAGCGAGAATTAATTAGTCAATGCATTGCGATTATTGCAGCTCTTCTCTTTTTCATAGGAAAAAAAACACGAAAAAAACATGCATATATCTATTATTGAAAAATTTATATTGACTTTGTGTATGTGTGTGTATATATATATTTATATATACAAAATCTTCCTTTACTAATAATATAAATTTATAACAAGCATGTGTATATAAATAAATCAATCACAGTACATTTTTACAAAACGACTACTGTCATTACTACTTTTTTGTTTCTAATGGCATCAACTCCATTTTATATTTCGAATACTCTCTATAAACAGCCGCAAACTTTCAGAGCAATAATCGCTGTGCAAATGATATTTTTCTACACTAATTTTAGTGCAGATTGTTAACTTATCAATCATTGTATCAAGTTTTACAATATTTAATATACGATGTATGAAACATTGTTTTATACAACATTTGTCTTTTTTTTAATTCTTTAAAAAGTTGAATAAAATAAAATTTTGGAAAACATGATTTTTATTTTAAAATTCCGAATCTCTATATACATTCAATTAAAAAAAGATACATGTTTAAATGAATCAAATGCGCATTTTGTAATTACGTAATGTTGCACCGTAAGCGATTTTCGAGAAATCTTACGTGCTTATTTTGTCATTAATGTTTAAAATGTCCTCGATTTAATTGAGGCATAATAATGCAATGATGCAAGATTTACACGTAATAAAAAACTACTCGTGTACATCAGAGAATAGTGCAATAGCTTTAAAGAAAACGATTTTCTCAATAGATAAGCATGTAATTATGCAAACTACATTTTTTTACATAACATTATATCATTTAAATTATAAAATAACTCATAATGATGAGATAGAATTCATATTTCCATCGAATTGTGTGAAAAAATATTCAATCCCGAATTCATTATATAAAATCGATTCGAATAATCGTTATATCGAAACAATTTTATATGCAAGTCGATTGAACATATTATACATTTTGTAAAAAGAATTAATTTACACATTTAATATTTAACGAATTATACATGATTATAAGCTATTGAATCTTCTTTAGTGATGAATTATTGCAATATAATTACATACATAACAAATGTTTTTGACATTTCCGTTAGCTTTTATCCTACATTCATTATATATACATAATAGAAGATGAAATAATTTTAAATAATCTTTTATAACAATTTCATAACATCAATTATGCACATTTGACTAGTTTCCATTTGCCAAGAAAAATTTATGGACCACGAAGTTGAGCCAATAAAGCTTCATTTTTGCGACATTCAATAGTAAGTTGTCTAACTGCTGCAACATATTTACGTTGTTGTTCTACAAGGGTGACGAGTTGTCGACTAAGCGTATCACGTCTACTTTTTTCGTCAGAACACCGTTTTTCCACCTAAGTAAAAAATTATTTTTAATTATTTTTTGATTCATCATTAAATATATAAAATGAAAAAAAATCATATATCGAAAAATTTAAAGACATTAATATGCATAGAGAAAAAGAATGTTAATAATTTATAAATCAACTTTTACGGAAATAAACTAAAATAGAAAAAAATTGCCATTTCAAATCAGATATGTTTCTCTTATTTTTATAAATACTACATGTTTTTAAATTATCCATTTTTATGAGTTTTCATGTTACCATGGCTTTGTTGCGCTTCACTCCTGCAACGATTGTCTCAAACTGTTTCAGGAACTGTTCCTTGCCACTTGCTGATGCCATTGCTCTATTATGGAATGTATGTTAATTATATATATATAATAATAATATTATGGATACAAAACCATCAATATTTATACATACTCATTATAGTTGTCCTGAATGGAATTTAGTAATGATAATTCCTTAGTTATATATAGTTTAGTATCATCGAGGGTATTGTATAATGTATAGTATTGTTTAGTTTCTTTATGCTTAGCTGAAACTGTAATAATATGCTTTTTTTAATTAAAATTTTTTGAAATAAATAATTTTAAATTGCAAGATTTTTATATATGCATGAAAACAAATCCAGTGGTTACCTTGATTATAAAGTTCCATAAAGCGGCGCTGATATTGCGTCAATTCAGAACGTCCTGGAACATCGTCCAATTGTCTTGTCAAAGATGCAATAATTCTATTCTTTTTTGCTAATTGCAAGCGCATTCGCATTATAGCTTCCTTTTGTTCCTCATATTCTTTGACACGATCCTCTTCTTCTACCGGAGCACCATTTTCAATTTCTTGTAACATATCTCGAAGAAGATTTAAATCTGACTTACATTGCTCTCGGAAATTGTGTTCTTGTTCTTTCAATTCTTCATGTACAGATAGAAGTTCCTCTAATCGTTTGAAAATACTGAAAAGTCAATAAGATTATTATATACATCAAATAAAAGAAATAAAATTAATATATATACAAATAATATATATTTGAAATAATAACTAGTGGTTTAATTAATAACTTATTTCTAAATACCTGTCATTATCATTAATTCCAATTTCACGAATCTTTTTAAACGAGCGTTCAATAGCTTCTTTTTTCGCACGATGTTCTTTCATTTTTTCTATTACTTCAGTGAATTTGTTTGATAAGTTATCTCTTTCCTTTGTTAACTTGCGGACTCTAGATTGCAATGTTGTTTTTGTTTTTGTAATGCAATTAGAGCACGCGACGAATCCGTTGCGTCACCATCCTATATTAATAAAAACATTATATTTATGTATGCTTTACAATTATTACATTATATACAATGCAAATAATTATTTTTCAAATAATTCTTTTTACAATGTTCTTTTATCTTTTTTATTATTTCTTTTTTATTATTTATTATTTCAATGAGTTTAATAAATAACGAATACTTCGACAGATAATTGTGTAAAAAGATTATAATAAATCAAACTGTATACATGTATATTATGTATATACCTCAGCTTCAGAAGTAGCTATGGCTGCATACTTTTCTGCTACTTTGGCAATTTCTTGTGCTTGTATGCCAACAATGTTTCCAACTGTATTTAAGCGCATCTGTATTAAAAGTAAAAAATTAATAATTATAATATAAACAGATAGCTTTTATATGACCAGAAACAAATAATATGTGAATTTTGGATAAAGAATCACTATTTTCTTAAATAATGAAAAATCTTAAATAAGTATAAATATATAAACGCAATCAATAAAAAGATTGTTAATTAAAACAACTTCAAACACTATCTTTTCTATTTTAATATTTGCAAAAACTACATACCAAATTTTCTTCTATGACAGACAGAGTAGCAGTAATCTGTTCAGTCATGTTCTACAAAAGATATAAAATATATGAATTTTTATAACATTACATACATATATACATATGTATGTACGCACATGCATACATACATAAACACACACAATTAAACTGATGCACTAAAAGTGACATTTATGATACAAATATAACATATAAAATATAATATATACTTTTTCATCTTTTTCATTTGATTCAGATCGTGATTCGCTGTTTTTAGATTCGATCGGTGTTATTGCTGATGTACTTTTAACCACCTCAAATGGTGCTTCATATTCTAATACAGTACCAATAAATTTATTTGCTTCATCCTTCACAGAGTCCTCTTTTTGTTTAAATAAACGCCGTGGTTCATATGCTTTCTTCCAAACATAAAAAATATGAAATTATACATATTAATCACATATTTACAAAATGTTTTTATAATTACAATATTTTTTCACAAATAAAGTAATTTGTACCTTAACCGCATGTAAGTTTTTTATGAGATTCTCATTAATTGCTGTTCTAGTTTCAGAATCTTCAGTAAAAGAATGCTTTTTATGAAACTGATTTAAGGCAAAAGCTCTCACAAAGTCCGCCATTTCCTGTCGCATTTCCATAGATCGCTTCACTAACCATTGAATAACTGGGAATATATGAATGCAATCTAAACCTTGTATTTGATGTGGTTCTATGCGATATGGACAATTCATTTTTGGAAGCATAACCACAATCTTTTCAGTTAAAGAACTGCAATATTTATTTTGTCATATAAGTATTAAAAAAAATATAATAAATTATATATAAGAAACTAATATAAGACAAGAATAAAATCTATATTTTCAAATATAAATACCATATAACATAAAATACATACATTTTTTGACCAATTGTAAGATTTTCTTGAAAAAGTAAATCCACATCTACATCAAAATTACATGATTCTATGCACCAAGTCATGCCGCCAACAACCTAATGAAACATATTTTTTAATAAAGTATATAAACTTAAATAAAAATTAAAAATAGTTTACCAACCTTATCAAAATTTGATAAACCTTTTATTCGTGCCCTAAAGTAACCCGCTGCAACAAGTAAATCGATAATTTCTTGAAATTTAATAGTTTGTTCCTCATCCTCGCGTACATCGATCTAAGAATATAATATTCAACATTTGAATGATTACTTACACTGAAATGATTCAGTATTAAAATAATAGCTTGATTAGATAAAAAAAAATAATATATATATATATATAATATTATATTCAATCTTTATGACAGATATTCTATAATCTTCAACAGATATCATTTTTAATAATTATCTTTTTGTACATCAATGATTTTATAAATTTTTCAATTATTCAAACAAAAAGGTTTTGAAATAAATGCATCTATAATTGTAATTTAAATTAAATTTAGGAATTTTAATACAGTTTTTGTGAAATATATACCTCAGTGTTTTCGGAACTTCTCAATATTCTTTTCGGCATATCATTCAACATATCGTAATTCTTCGGAGAGCAAACTATTTATTTTAATGCATTTGGAGTTGAAATTGAAAAATATTACTTTCTTATAATTTATATGTAACCTTTCTTCTTTCTTTCTTATGACCCTGCCCTTAAACGAGAGCCAGAATCAATACAGCCAGAACTTGTACAATATCGGAGTCAGAGAGAAATCAGGTATAGTGGAAGGTAATCTTATGCCAAAATTGATCGTGTAATAAAATTTGCACTTGTTCGATTTATTTTACTTGAACATAAAATTAATGTTACATTACATTAATGCAGCACTTATCAACGCGATATAAGATATGTACTATATAGAGCAACGTAACCAAATACGATAAGTACAGTGCACTGGAGATGCATGGAGAGGATGTCAATCGAATGAGTTGCACTTGATTGCACTGGGGAACATTTACACTTAGTGTACGTTAGTGCAGACAACTGAATTTGCTACAAGTCTGTACTGCTTCAGAAATTTAGATTTGTTCTTTTTGGCTGAACTGGTTGTACTAGTTTCACAGTACTAGTTTATCTTTCTTTCTTTATACTGAAAGAAGAAAGATAAATTCTAAACTAGTACAACCAGTTCAGCTAAAAAGAACAGACTTATTATTTTATTCTTGTTCATCGAATGTTAAACAAGGATATAAAATGATACCAGCACTCGAGGGTTATTTCTAAACGCATCCTAGTATTACTTTATGGTGACTTTGAAGATGTCTCCATACCCTATAAGTGAAGTAGTAATATTCTACTATAATAAAATATAAATATTTTTCACTGCACCTGGCAGCGGGAATATTTATCTTATAAAATTGTAAAACGTTGATAATTATTATAAAATTTTTTTTATAAAATTAGGAAATATATTGTGGATGACATAATGGATATGCAAAAGTTTTGTCAACAATTACCGAAAGTGGTATGTTTTTATTTCGGAATCTAAAAATGATTGTTATGTAAAATAAATATTTTTATATTTTATATTTTATATTTAGTAATTTTATACAATATTTTATACTAAATAATTATTTTTTCCTAATTTATTAGGAACTTCATGCACATTTAAATGGTTCATTAAGTATAAATACCTTGCAAAAATTATACAAAATACAATACTCAGACAGTACATATGATCCAGCTGTTTTGGACATCACCAATTTCTCATCCTTAAGCGAGTATAAATATTTTTTTTATTTTATATTAGAAAATTTTGAAATAATGTATTGTCCAAAGAAGAATATATAATCATATATATCATATATGCATTTTCCAGATGCTTTAAAATATTTGATATAGCACATGCATTAACAATTACACCGGAGACTGTATTTATTGCTACTTGTGATGTAATAAAAGAGTTTCATGAGGACAATGTAATTTATTTAGAATTGAGAAGCACACCTCGTGCTGTAAATAATTCAATGACAAAAACAGAGTACCTTCAAGCTATAATAAAAGCTATCGAGTACGTAACTTTTATATATATATATTAATAACTCTTTAGTTTGAGTATATACATACATGTGTATAAAAATAATATATTTCTAATTTTCTCATGAATGAAATTAGTAAATTGTATCTAATGTTTATATAGAATATCCAAGTCTGAGTTTCCACAAATTCTTGTAAAACTACTGATATCAGTTAATCGAAAACAAGGTTATGAATCTGCAGAAGAAAATATAAATCTTGCTATGCAATTCATGAAGAAATATCCTGAATATATTGTTGGTATTGATCTTAGTGGTGATCCAACAACAGGTGATTCATTCTTAGAGTTATTAGAAGCTTCCAGAAAAGTGGGTCTTAGAATTACAGCTCATTGTGCAGAGGTAAATTGTCTTTTAAAGATCAATATTCTAACAATTTCTAACATATATATTAATATTTCTGTATGTTAATAGTTATATTATATTTATATTATATACAGGTACCAAATGAGATAGAAACAAAGGATATATTAAAATTTAAACCTGATCGATTGGGACATTGTACATGCATTCATCCCAATTTGCAAGGTTCTCAACAATTATTTGATAAATTATTGGAATCTAAAATTCCTGTTGGTAAGATATTTTTATAGAATTACAATATAATAATTTATTTTCAAAGATAAAACATTTAATGAATATTAATAACATATATACTTTTTTAACTCAACATTTGTTTCTTTTAATCTAGAATTATGTTTGACATCAAATGTTAAATGTAAAACAGTATCATCATATATGAACCATCAATTTAATTATTTATATAAAGCTAGACATCCTATAACTATTGGGGTAAGTGTATATGTGTTTATATAATGTGCATATTGTTAAAACTCCACAAAACATGGGATTATAATCTTCTTTAGACAGATGATAAAGGCGTTTTTAATACGTGCTTATCAAAGGAATATGAGATATTGAGTTCTACTTTTAATATCGGAAGGAAAGAGCTTAAAGAATTGTCTGTATCATCAGTACAATACAGTTTTGCAAATATTGAGGAAAAGAAGAATTTAACAGCAATCATTAAAAATTTTGAATAACATAATTCTTTATTGTACAAATCTCTCTCTTCCTCCTTTCCTTTCTCCCTCCCTCATTCTTCCTCTTGCTTTTTGTCTTAATAAAATATAATTATAGTTGATAATTTTAGTTTAATAATTAGTAATTTTTTCATTATTTATTTTTTTTTATACATATATTATGATGAATTGTGTATGTGTGTGTGTGTGTATGTGTGTGTTGTACATGAAGAATGTACATATATGTAAAAGAATGAAAAAATAATATCTATACCATTTTACATCTCGAGAGAAGTTTCAAATTTTTGCATTAGGATACTAACACACGTTTGATTCTTTTAAATCTAGCTAAAGCATTGCCGGGCTCATTCTGTAATCCACCAAAAGCCTCTCTGTACTCTTTCTCTAAACGTGAATTTAATTCCTGTGAGCTTCCAGTTAAAGATACTAAGGAATCGGAATGTTCTGCAGGATGTTCTCTCTCATTATTTTCATTTTCGCTGCTAGTGGGCAAATATGCTTGAGACTGCAACAATTTTATCATTTATTTGTTTTTATTACAATATTTATTTAAATTCGTATTTATTGCAAACAATAGCTGTGCGGTTGCATTTATTTTACTCAATATATCCATATTAACAATTAATAATATGTCGTACAATAACGAAGAGTTTTCATTTATTTATATGTACCTCCATTGGCTCACTATGGCTATCTGGATTAATGACATTAAACGCAAAAAAAAAAAATATTAAAATAAAAATTTTTGCAAAATATATTACATGGAAATATTTCCTAATAAAGTAATCTTTATAAGCGACACATCAGACTTGTGAAATATACAAAAAACTTTTTTTGTTTCGGTAAATCAATATATGATCACGTATTTAGAAGTTGAATTGTGGCCTTTGTGATTCCTGTGATTACGCATAATTTATTTCTAGATTATTTAATGATTATCGAAGGCAAAGTAGGAATTTTCGATATATCTTACAAATCTATTATAATGTTATGTTGTACTAATCAATATTTTTGTTTTAATATATTTTGCAAGAATTTTCATTATATGTTTTCTCGCTCTGATGTTACAATTCAAGATGGCCACAGTGAACCAGCAGATGTCTTAAATCTTACCATTTTATTATCTGTATGGAGAAAAGAATTTAAATTGGGATTCGTAAACAATTCATTTCCGGATTTGATGGCTTTTCCGTTAGATGACGATATATAGCTACTTGATTGTCTCTTCTTTGTCTGATGTTGATCGTTATTCATCAAAAAAATTTGCCTGATATGTTCCCGTTTCTTTTTAAAAGATTCGTTCGAAGGAATTCGATCGGAAAACTTGTCGCGATTGGCCACAAATCGTCTTTTCAGATTTTCATTCTCTTTTGATGTATCTAACTTATTAATTTTGTTAGAACGTTTTTTATACGGTTCTCTTTTTAAAGATCGATGCTTTTCGTTTATTTTGGAAGTGGCTGCATTATCGGCAATTCCCTGTATGGATTTTTTGACTATAATCTGACGCTTTTCAATCGGTTCACTCTCGGAGTTTTGTCTTCCCTCATCTTCATACTCCTCATCCTGTAGCTCGTTAAATTTGATATTATTTTCCTCGATGTCTTTTATTCGTTGTCGTGCCTCTATGTCTCGTTGGATCTCCTCCTTGAGCGAATCAATTTTCCGTTGAATCTCTTCCTCCACGCGTTTCTCATATTCCGCATTTGACCCGTCTCTTTGAGACGGCGAAGCGACCAGACTCGTTGGTTCTTGTGTCTTGAAAGAATCATTCTTCGAGATCATTTTATTCGATCCGATATCTTTGATCTCAGACGCGTCGTTGGGTGTCTTGCTAAAACTTTCTGCTGGTTCGATTCGAGAAACCTCGGGCGAATAAGGCTCTTTCGCCGCAATCTTTGACTCTTCCAACGTTGCTGAATTATCTGGATTTGTTTTGGATTCATCAAGCGCTTTTAAAATCGCTTGATCTCTTTTCACCCGATTATCTTTCGATATTTCTCTCTTCTCGGGTTCATCTATCGATTCTCGCTCCTGCACCGCAGCCATGTCTTCCATCATTCCCGATGGGTCGTCCTTCATTTCCTCGTAATCCTCTGCACCGTTTAGAACGCCACGTTTCGCGACGTCTTTTGCTTCATAGTCATCATATAGACTCGATCTATCATCCTGATCGGTATATTTATCGCTATTTACATTACGGGATAAGCGCACAAGATTGCTCTTTTCTTCGTTTCTATCACGTTGTTTCGCCACGTCTTCATCTGCCTCTTCTATATAGTCTGATCTTTCGTTTGAGGGTTGCAAGTTGGAATATTTAGCTACGTTATTACGATCAATGGATTTTTCAGCGTTTGATCGGCTCGAAATCTTGCGTTCCTCTTCCGTATTGTCTTGATATGTATCGTTCTCTTCGAGATCAGCATCGCTTTTTTCTTCATCCGCGTGTCCCAAGTTTATTTCTTGAATTCCTTTCGCGTAGTTAGTGCCTTCTTCCGATTGCGATGTTTCAGAAATGGATACCTCTCGTTTCGTTCTGAAAACGTGTAATTTTCTATAATGTCCATTTCTATTAATGTAAGTTAGTTTTAATCTTAATTTAATTTACTCTTTATCCTTTTCTAACTCTTAAAATTAAAAAAAATCAATCTCTGGATATATTTATAATTAACAGATATTATTTGATACAAAATGACGAACTTTTTAAAATGTGTATGCTTCGAAAATGCATGAACAATTTGTTTATTATTTCTCTAAATAATATTATCTTATTTCTCTTTCTTCTCTTTTTAAAACAGGTAAAAATAAGTTGAATCAGGATTAAAGTTAATTTACATCGATAAAAATGGACAGAAGTGTTATATATAAACCGATTTTGAAAAATACGAAAATCTCTTTAATTTAATTTAATTAAAAGGGATTCAGATCGATTTTCACAGATTTTTCTAAAATATGCGTATTTAATGCGCTACTTCAAAAATGTATGAACATTATGTACATTATTTTTCTATTTCTTAGAACTAAAAAAGATAAGTTAAACCGAGATTAAAAAATAATCTGCATTGTTAAAAAACGCACATAAAATATCATTACTACATAAATACCATGTAAATATTAAAAAATATTTTACATTTTGCAAAGAATAAGACAGAATAGTTATAAGCAAGCAATCTCGTTAAAAATTCACAACGGATTACACGAAAATATATGAATATTGATCTGCAAGAATAGCCTAAAGAGAAAATCACGTACTGTCAATACCTGCAAGTTTCATTAATAATTTTCGTATAACAAATCGACGATTGTAATATCTCAAGCACAACGAAGATACAATACAGTCGATTTTTCATATTGCGGCTCTGTGAAAGCTCCTGCAGTACATTGCGCAAGCAAACGTCGATGTCATAATCACATTAACCTGGAGTTAATCAAGAAATCGAATTTCATGTTCATAGAAGTTTGACAAATCGTGTTATGAAGGAGAAGTTGTCGTATCGAACGCGATTATTTGCGATTATGCTATCTTCTTATGTTAAAGCCCGTGATGATTTGCACGACGATTCTACTCGAAATGGCAACACGCGCGCAAATTTTGAAATGAAACAATTTACGTCAGATGATTCATCACAGTGACAAGGTGATGATGTGTACTCGTTGAGTTATTTTCTTTCACAAAAAGACTTTTATTAGAAAACTGATATTTGGTAAATAAAATCTGTCTCTTCCTCTTCGCGCGTACGGCGCGTATCATATAGTAAGTCATTATAGTAAATACAATTTGTATATAAGACAATTCGGATTATATCATATATCTAAATTTGTCAAGGGCCATTACCGAGACAAAGGGGCACATCGATACCTCCGAAAGGGAAGAATAGAATGCGCGATAGAAGGGAAGATGGAGACAGCTGAAGATACACAATGACAAGATAAAGGGATCATCGCGCCTTGTCCATAGGCGCGATCCTATATATTCTTACAGTGACGATATTACAAATTAAATTACATCTACGACTATCTGCAGCGAATGGCCGTGCCTAGCGGCCATTTTGTTACTGACTCCGTACTCCGAGATGCGATCTCGGTTCTCGCACCGTACGCAAACAACACCTTTATTATCATTTATATTCTCGTACGCAAGTACGACTTACATATACCGCAGGAAAACAGAAATCATCGCGTTTGTCTAGCGGAATCAAAAATTATTCTTAATCTAGAAACAGAGAAATGACGCCTCGTCCTCATTCGTTAATGCGCCCTCGCCAAAGATGCCAAATCCACTACACAAAAAAATTATCGTTTTGTTGTTATTATTATTAGATTATTATATGTAGAAATTATTTTGCATGTCGTATCGTGCGACAAGCATTATATTTGTTGCACAATACAATGTGCAA